CACAGGGTGGCTTTAAAGATGAAGGGAAACATATACAGTGGAAGTATCTGTTTGTTTGTTTCCTCCCTGAGGATCATAAACTCTGCTTCTGTGAAACCGTGGTAAATAAACTGCATTCAAACCTTTAATTGCTCATTACTTTCTAATCATCTCGGTCTGCGATTACAAAGCACTGTTTACATCTCGTTACGTCTCAGATCCAGAAGAAGAAGAATGGTCTTTGTGCTTCACCAACATCACAGTCATTTTGTGTCAAAAAAGCAGAGAACACAGAAATGTGCTTTTTAAATAACAAACTACTGTTTCATTTTGTTTCCACGTCCCAGTTTTGTGGGACGTGGAAACATGACAAACTTGTACATGTTCTCACTGTCTAAAGTGCTCTCTGCTCTGGGTGAAGGTCGCTGTAACCTGCCAGAGCTGCCGTTTGGTCCTGATCCAGAGTTTCCATTGAAGTGCTGGTGTAAAATGGACTTAGTTAAAGCAGTCACTTTGTTTTCATGGGGCTGAGTCTGGGTCTGTGCAGATGTGCTGCTGCTCTGCTACGCGGGGACCGGCTCCTGAGGCTGCAGCTCGGGGCCCGGGGATTAGCCGGCAGGGAGAATGAAGGGTAAAATCAGGCCCCTGACTGCCCCACAGTCCGAGACCATCGATTTTCTGCCCCAGGCGAGAGAAAGGAGACCGCCTAATGCCCATAATGCAGCTTGGTCTTTAGTTTAGGGGTTTTTAAGAGGAAATCGGCCTTGATATGTGACTTCTCCCCGAGGACCAAGGATGTGGCCTGGACCTGGTTCTGGTCTTAACTCGCTTAGAGGGTTCTTTTAATAAGACGAAAGTGTAAAGAAGCGAGTGGTGCTTAATAACCCAACGCACAGACGTCCGCCTTCGTCAGAAGAGACACTACTTTCTATCGTTTGTGTTCAGGTCGCTATTTATTTTGAACTTAAATATCATAAAAGAAAAAAAACTAAACAAGATACAGTTTGAAAAGGGACTGGACCAAACAATGCACACACAAACACACACATACCGGGACTCATGCACAGTGAGACACACACCCACAGGAGTAGGTCTTTCTATGTACAGCACTCTGGTCAACCATGTTGTTTTTCTTAGTGCTATATAAATAAACTGGACTGGACCAGACATATACACAGAGACACACACAGTTATTCCTTTAGTTTAATAGTTCTAATGTGATAGTGTGATGTCACCAACCAGTGCAAGACATTGCTATTACTATTACTATAGAGGACCAGCACAACCCCAGGAGAAAGACATGAGAGGACCAACAAAACACTAGGATGAAGACAGGAGAGGACTGGCATTATCAGAATCAGAATCAGAATCAGAATCATTTTTATTGCCAACGTAAGTAACGGGAGGTCACAGACTTGGAAATTGCTTTGGCTCAGTGCAACAGTCAAAAAGAGATAATAAAAATAAGAATAAAAAACACTTCTAAAGAATAAATTTAAATTTAAAATAGAGTTACAGTTACTATTTACAATATACAAGTGCACATGGTGCACACAATGTAAGGTGACAGCAGTACAGTGAAGTAAAGTGACGTATGATGGGCAGTAAAGTGACTTTATAAAGGGCGGGGGGACAGGTTAAGAAGTGTTCAAGAGTCCAACAGCAGAGGGGAAGAAACTGTTCTTGTGGCGGGAGGTTCTAGTCCTGATGGACCGCAGCCTCCTGCCTGAGGGGAGTGGTTGGAATAGTCCATGTGCAGGGTGAGAGGGGTCGGCTGTGATACGACCAGCCCGGCCTCGAGCTCGGGCGACGTACAGGTCCTGCAGCGATGGAAGGCTGCGGCCGATCACTTCCTCTGCAGAGCGCACAATGCGCTGTAGTCTCTGTTTGTCCCTGACTGTGGCTCCAGCGAACCACACGGTGATGGAGGAGGTGAGGATGGACTCGATGATGGCCGTGTAGAACTGCACCAACATCTGTGCAGGCAGCTTGGCTTTCCTGAGCTGCCGCAGGAAGTACATCCTCTGCTGGGCCTTCTTGATGAGGGAGCTGATGGTCGGCTCCCACTTGAGGTCCTGGGTGATGGTGGTGCCCAGGAAACGGAAGGACTCCACAGAGGTGATGGGGGAGTCCATCACGGAGGGTGGGGGCGGGGGGACAGTGCTCTTCCTGAAGTCCACAATCATCTCCACTGTCTTCTGGGCGTTCAGCTCCAGGTTGTTACCACTGCACCAGGACACCAGCCGGTCCACCTCCCTCCTGTAGGCGGACTCATCGTTGTTGGAGATGAGTCCAATGAGGGTGGTGTCGTCCGCGAACTTGATCAGCTTCACGGAGTCGTGGCTGGAGGTGCAGTGGTTGGTGTACAGGGAGAAGAGCAGGGGAGAAAGAACACAGCCCTGTGGGGCTCCTGTATTTATAATCCGAGAGTCCGAGACATTCTTCCCCAGACGCACTCGCTGCTTCCTGTCCGTCAGGAAGTCAGTGATCCACCTGCAGGTGGAATCGGGCACGTTGAGCTGGGAGAGCTTGTCCTGGAGCAGGGATGGCAGGATTGTGTTGAAGGCAGAGCTGAAGTCCACGAACAGGACCCTGGCGTAGGTCCCCGGGGAGTCCAGGTGCTGTAGGATGTGGTGGAGGGCCAGGTTAATGGCGTCGTCTACAGATCTGTTGGCTCTGTAGGCGAACTGCAGGGGGTCCAGGAGGGGGGAGGTGAGGGACTTGAGATGGGAGAGAACCAGGCGTTCAAATGACTTCATGACGACAGACGTAAGTGCTACAGGTCTGTAGTCATTGAGTCCTGTGATCCTGGGCTTCTTCGGGACGGGGACAATGATGGAGGATTTGAAGCAGGCCGGGACATGGCAGGACTGCAGAGAGGTGTTGAAAATGTCCGTGAACACAGGAGTAAGCTCACTGGCGCAGTGTCTCAGAGTGGCCGGAGACACGTGGTCCGGGCCAGGAGCTTTGCGGGGGTGCAGCCTCAGGAAGAGTTGTTTAATCTCTTTAGCGGCTATTGTTAGGCTGGGGGCAGGGCTGATGGGTGGGTCGTTAGAGTAGTGGGGGGTGGGGGAGGGAGAGGTGTCAGGGGCAGCATCAAAGCGACTGAAAAATAAGTTCAGATCGTCAGCTAGCTTGTGGTCATCAGCACAGGGGGGGGCTTTGGGTTTGTAGTTGGTGATCTCCCGTAGGCCCCTCCAGACAGAAGCAGTATCGTTGTTACCAAACTGCTCCTGTAGTCGTTCTCTGTGCCGGGACTTGGCTGCTTTCAGTTCTTTCCTGAACTGATATTTAGCTGCTTTGTAGCCGCTGCGGTCCCCCTCCCTGAAAGCAGACTCCTTTGCTTTCCTGAGCTGCCGGAGTTTAGCAGTGAACCAGGGTTTGTCGTTGTTATAGATGACCCTGGTCCTTGTTGGAATGATGCTATCCTCACAGAAGTGAATGTATGACGTCACAGTGTCCGTATATTCATCCAAACTATCTGTGGCAGCTCTGAAAAGGTCCCAGTCTGTAGATTCCATGCATGCACGCAGCTCTTCCACAGCTTCATCAGACCACACTTTGGAGCTCCTCACTGCAGGTTTCGAGAGCTTTAGTCTCTGTCTGTAAGCAGGAACCAGATGTATCATGGAGTGATCTGAGAAGCCGAGGGCTGGCTTGGGAACAGCGCGAAAAGCTCCGCGCACGGTGGTGTAACAGTGATCCAGAGTGTTCTCCTCTCTGGTCGGGCATTTGATAAACTGTCTGTATTTGGGTAATTCCTGGCTCAAGTTTCCCTTATTAAACTCAAGTAGGACTCAAAACTATAGTGGCCCTGTGGAAAACAAGTGGTAAAATATTCATAAAAACCATGAAGATGAATTCAATTTTTTTTGTTAAGATTTCACAGCTAAAGAGTATAGGAGCCATAGAGGAGACCGACCACAGAGTTCAAAGTTCATCTGGATGGAGCTAAACACATCTCCAGGTACAGTATGTTTTAAAGAGGGATGATGAGGAGGCATTGTTAGAAACTCATTAAGTTTAATGTTGTAATCATCGTCACTGCAGACAGCACCTGCCTCTGTCCCCAACACAATCACTAGATCTCAAAAACATAGATGCTAATGAGGAACATCTGCTTTAGCCTCAGCCTCCAACAATCACAGGGTTTGTCTCAGAGCAATTACCACCTCAGCCGGCTCCCAGGGGCCACACGACCTGACTGAGGAGAGAGACTGAGATATAGTCCTGCATCGCATGGCCTCAGTCCTACCTGAGAGGCTGTAGATCCAGTCCCCTCAGTCCTGGATCTACAGCCTCGGTCCTGGTTCTACAGCCTCAGTGCTGGATCTACAGCCTCGGTCCTGGTTCTACAGCCTCAGTGCTGGATCTACAGCCTCGGTCCTGGTTCTACAGCCTCAGTGCTGGATCTACAGCCTCGGTCCTGGATCTACAACCTCAGTCCTAGATCTACAATCCGTCCATGGAAGCAGATTGAAGGCCTCCCTGAGGATTTTCACATTTTTCTCACTGGGTTTTAGAGTTGTTCCTCTCTGATGCAGGAGGGTCTAAGGACAGCGATGATTCAGGACATTTATGGACATTTACAGTATCTCTGCCCTTTATGGACCCATGGCTCCATGTGGTTTTTATCATTGAATTTGCTGTGTTTGAACAGTTTGATTCTCTGATCTGTGTTGAATCTAAATCTTTGTAAAATCCTCCAAGATAACTACAGTTGTGATTTCCCCTGAATGAAGGCCTGTAATTGGACAGTCCTTGTAAGGCTCATATCTGGATTTACAAAGACAATGTCACAACATAAACACCAGGATCACCGAGACAGAGAAATCACAGATTTAAGCCCATAATGGTGAGTATGACACAAACGGTTGCTAAGCTAGAGGAGTTTATTTTTAAGTCAATAGGAGCCAGAGAGAGTTGGAGCAAAACTTCACCATGAGCACTTCTCTATTGGGCTTTATTGACCTAGCACGTTAGCATTGGCAATCTGTGTACAGGCTGTGACCATAACAAGTTCAGAAAGCTCTTTCAGAGCCTGAAGCTGCAGACGAGGCCTGAATGAGGGCGATGGGAGCAGATACACAGGGAATGAGGAGAAGCCGCTTCTTCCACACCACTGCCTTCAATTTAGCACAGGTGCTAAAGTTAGCAGATAGCAGCACTGATAGTTTCACCGACGCTCCACATGAGCAGGGAAACACAAAGGGAAGCATCCAGAGGCGACACATGGGAATGAGTGTGAGCGAGGGGAGATGGAGAGAACAAGTGGTCCCATGGGAGGGCTGCGGACACACACATACACACCCACACACAAACCCTGTGAGTATTTGAAGAATCCAAATCAAAGGGTTTGGCTCATGTTTGCAGAATCCATCAGAAAGGGCCACAAATGTCCTTTTCTTCACGCAGACGATGTTAAGCCTCATTGTTCCCACTCTCACCTCCTTGAATCTCATTGGCTCATGAATAAATGTACTGATTATAGACTTCACAGCAGTAGGGTTAGAGTGAAGTACCTTGCCTAAGGACACAACCACAATTGGCACTTTACAGCTGCTTCTGCCCTACTGTGGCACCCAGAGGTCTCCCATCACAGTACTAACCATGCCTTGTTCTGCTTAGCTTCAGAGGTCTGACAGGATCTGGCTTTCACCTGCAGTTATCATGTATCGATATCCGTGGTTATTGGTGGTGACGATGGGGCGACCCCTGTATCGATGTGAGCTGAGTTAGACTCCAGCGCCACAGGAGAGATCAGAACCGAGTGAGACACAACCCCTCTGTGTCCTAGCTCAGTCACACGGAAGGAGCTTGGAGTAGGGCCGTTGCTCCTCCACGTGGCTCGTGCATCTGTTTGGGATGCCTCCTGGTCTCCTGGACGTGCCCAGGGAGACGTCCAGGAGTGACTGAGCTCCTCACCCTATCTCTAAGGGAGCAGTGACTCTACTCTGAGCTCCTCTCTATCTCAAGTCTCACAGGAGGTCCAGCCTGAGAGACTTGACCTCCTCCACTTGCAGAAAGACCTACTGAATAATGTTTCATTGTGTTAAAAGTTGACTCAAAGTTTGTTAAAGTTTGAGTTTAGATCTATCTTTATTAGCCCTTAGTAGCCCTTACACCTGCGGACACAGCCCTGCCCGACCCGCCTGGGAGCTGCTTCAGTCCTGCACCGGACCTGTTCACATTCTGTGCCCCCTGCATGGCCCTGGTCCACGTTCTGTAGCTTAGGTCCTGGATCTATAGCCTGTCCGTCCATGTGGAGTGGATCCCTTTCTCTATATGTGGGTCTCCCCGAGGTTTCTCACTTTTTTCCCACTGGTTTTTTGTTTTGTTTTTCTTTGCCAATGCAGGAGGGTCTGTTGGGCAGTTAGTGTCCAACTAGAAGGACTGTGGTGATGATCCAGGACACTTTAACATTCTACAACATGTATGGACATTTATCAACATGTGTTCTGTATTCTTTTTGTGTCTTAACTGTTGATTCTCTGACCTGTGTTGGTGATTTCAATGGTTTTGTTAAGTCCTCTGAGATGACTTATGTTGTGATTTAGGGCTCTACTGTATAAGAATAAATTGTATTGTATTATATTAATAGCATCCCACAGGTCTGTTTGTTATCTTCCTTGGTCTAAGCAACAAACAAACAAAATTTATCTCGTTCCAAAACCAAACAATGGCCCAATCTCTGACCAGTTTCTTTGCGAATCTTACAAAAACGGCGGCACAATCCTGCTCATCAGGTTGAATGTGTGCGTCTGTTTGTGTTAAAGTGTGTTGATGACAGGAAGCAGCTGACGCGGAGCCTTACTGGGTTGGTGTTGTCGCCGTTGATCCTGTTGATGTTGTTGAATGGCATTGATGTGGTGCAGGTGGACAACGCTGGCGTCCAATGGTCCTTGATTAAATGTTTGGTTCTCAGGGCGACGTCCCGGCTGCATCCTCCAGGGGGCGCTAACTGGTGAGAGAGACGGGGGAAGTTAGAGATCTCAGCAACAACCTCAGAGAAAAACAAAGAGGAAATCAAATCAAGAACACGTATCTTGTTCTAAACACTTACGGGACAAGAACTTTACAAGACAGATGTTTTAAGTGGAAGGTTTCTTAATGACTTAAAGCTCAGGTCTCTAACTTTCAAACCACATACAAATTGGGTGCAAGAGACATGAGGCCGATAGATCTGCCAAAGACGTTTGTTTATAACCTTGTTATCTGCCGTGGTTGAATTCAGTTTGTCCCGAGCTGAGCTAAGATAACGCTAAGAGTCTATTCAGTCCATTCAGATAAAACACAACACATTTATTGTTGATATAAAAAATGTGAAATGATTGAATTGTGTGCATGTGAATGTTTGTAAAGGCATTCTTCATCTGCCTTCAGGTTGTTTCGGCTCTACTGCTGTGTATCTGTATTTATTTATTTTCCTGGGACAGTACATGTCAATGAACATATGGTTTAACAAACAGTATATGTCGACACGTCAGATTTCAGCCCAAGGCCATTTTTCATCTGTAGTTCCAGGAGAACGGGGTCTGTTTTAATTCATGATTTTTGTGTGAATTTATTTTCCAGAGACATCTGACTGCACAAAAAACACACGCCATGATTTGTTCATCCTGAATTCTGCTTCATCCAATTCACCTCCAGCTTCTGGGAACTACAAGGGGCGGCAGGGCGGCACGGCGGCTGAGTGGATAGCACTCTCGCCTCTCAGCAAGAAGGTCCTGGGTTCGAATCCCGGCCGGACCAGGGCCTTTCTGAGTGGAGTTTGCATGTTCTCCCCGTGTCTGCGTAGGTTTCCTCTGGGTACTCCGGTTTCCCCTACCACTAAAAACATGCACAATAGGTCTGGCATGCGCCTCCTGTACTGGCGACCCCGCTCCCATCTCTGTGTGGAGTGAGTGGACCAATGCCCAAAAATAATAACAATTGTAAACCGCTTTGTGACTCTGGTCTGTGAAAGGCGGTATATAAATAAAGATTACTTACTTACTTACAATACAAACTACAACGGACGTAGGACCAATATTTTCATTTGTTTATTCATTGTAAGTCATGAATAGTAACACATCTCAGCAGTAACAGCAGCAGTAACAACAGCTGCTGCCTGGACGTCTGCCTCTGATACGTCTTTTCTACATTTTGCTCATCAGAACCTGGGAATAAAAAATAAAAAAAATCAGACATGTATCTTTCATAATGATTTAGTTCTTTGAGTCTGAAATGTGAGCATCTGTGTGTGTCATGAAAAGTGGAGTATGTGATTAATTTCATCCAACCACAGAATCAGTGAGCAAAATTTAGCTTGTATTTATACTTCTAATTGAAAACATCAAAGTCATTAACTCTGGAATGATCACTAAGTCTGCTTGATTTCAAGACTTCAGAAAGTAAGAGATAAATTACCTTCTGTGTCCAACTCAATTATCACATTTAGGCTTAATACAAATGACTTTACTACAAAGTGATGCACAAACGAGGGTCATACGCAAGTTTATTTGTATAGCACAATTCATACACAAGGCAACTCAAAGTGCTGAACAAGAAAGCATTAAAATCATAAATAATCTCAGAACATTAAAAAGAAAGCTAAAAATATAAAATCCCTCAGTTGTATGCACAGCTAAACAGAACTGTTTTCAACCTGGTTTTAAACATTGTCAGAGAGGAGGCCTGTCTCACATCTTCAGGAAGATTGTTCCAGATTTTAGCAGCATGAATCTGAAAAGCAGCCTCCCCATGTTTAGTTCTGACTCTGGGCACTAACAGGAGTCCAGTCCCTGTGCTCCTCAGAGTCCGGGCTGGTTCATATGGGACTAACATGTCACTAATATATTTTGATGCGAGGCTATGGAGAGACTTGTACACAAGCAGAGCTGTTTTAAAGTCTATTCTCTGAGCCACAGGAAGCCAGTGCAGAGACCTGAGGACTGGACTAATGTGGTCGTACTTCCTGGTTCTAGTCAGGACTCGAGCTGCTGCATTTTGAATGTACTGCTTTAGACACTATGTTTTTGATCCTGGCAATGTTTTTTAGATGGTAAAAAGCTGCTGATGTTACTGATTTGATGTGGCTATTAAAATTTAAGTCTGAGTCCAGTATTACCCCTAGATTTCTGACCTTGTTTGAAGGTTTTAAGGAGAGAGACTGTAGGTGACAGATGACGCTCTCTCTTTGTTTCTGGGGACCAAAGACAATCATTTCAGTTTTGTCTGCGTTTAGCTGAAGGAAGTTGTTTTGCATCCACTCACTGATCTGTTGGATACAGTGAAGGAGTGAGTCCACTGGTCCATGTTCTCCTGCAGTCAGTGAGACATAGATCTGAGTGTCGTCTGCATAGTTGTGATAGGACACTTCGTTTCTGTGTATTAACTGACCTAAGAGGGCGATGTTTCCCGGCTCAAATGTTTTTGAAATTAACTTCTATGTCCTGATTAAAACGTATATTTAACTTTTATCTTTACCTCATCATGGCCGCTCCTCTCTCCATTCCGTGATCCATGCTACTGAGGGACGGTCAGAATATCACCAGAATGATTGACAAGTAGGAGGACTAATAGTATAGATGATCCACCCGGAAGACCAGAATCCTCTAGTATACCTTTAAGAAACACAGGTGTGAAGATTGAACTGTTGTAGTTTGTTGAGACGTGTTGGAGACAGTTTATTTGATATATCTACTTTTCCTCTCTTCTCTAGAACCAGGGTTTTGGGTCTGTTCGTCCGATGTAACGGTAACGATTTGCTCCCTCTGCAAAGGCCACACAGCAGCCGTTGCACAAAAGACAAAAGTTTGTGTCAATCTGAGTCGCCCCACGCGGCACCTCCCTGATTATTACAACAACAGATGCAACACATTTCAATTTCCCACTTTTTATCATTCCAAAACAGGCCACTTCCAAACTCCTTCCCATCCTCCCGCCCTCTCCCCTCTCTCCCCCTCTTCTATCCGCCCACCGGTCCCACGATGACCTCCCGGTTTCGCAAAAAATCTGGCTCCAGCTCTACGAGTCTTGGCTTGACGAGGAATTAGCAACCAGGCAATTACAGTGACAAAAAAAAAAACTGGGGAAATCTTTGGGTTTTTTGGTGGCGTCGAGATGGGACAGGATTAGAATAAAGCTGGACTGGCGTTTGAATGGTGAAGGGTCCCACTTGTTATTAGCGGATGTAAACATTTGCCAAGCTGCTGAGAAGCTGGTAAGAACACAGGATGAGTGGAATTACCCCAGTCGTACATCAACAGCCTGCTAAATAGTTTTTTCCCCCCTTTCCAAGCAGGGCCCTATACTCACCATCACGCATCTTCAAATATTGTGGCTCTATAATCTGAAGAGACAATAAGAAAATTTACCAAAATCTTCCATCCAGCGCCCATTAGGAGCGAAGGAGTCTTATCTCCATCTGGCAACGCAAGCTAACGACATGATCGCGGCTCCACTGAGATGGTTTAAATGAACATAGAGCTAAGCAGTTAGCAATCGCAAGAAAACAGACTGAGTCCAGACTGTGGTGTATGAGTGAGGGTGAGGGTGAGGTGGGAGATCTGGGACAATCAGCGTTTTATGTGTGAACCAGAATAAGGTTTAAATTCACTGCAGAAAAGTAAAAAGACACAGTGAAGACGAGAAGACGCCTGAATGGCTTACACTTATAGTAAGAAAGGTGTAACGGCCCATCAGTGATGCTACACCTGCTGTTATCGCCATGACGATACTTCTATTTTGTGCAATTCTAATTATTATTTGTTTTATTGTTGTGTTTGTCTTATGTGAAACCTTCCCGTCTGAATGAATATCAAAAACATCAGGCAGGACCCAAGTATCAAAATGAAAGCAATGAACAAGTGATATTTCCTTCCATGCAGATTTTGAAAATGGTCTCTGGTTCAGTCGGTGGACCCTGGACTCCAGTCCCATGGAATTTAGGCCCTGCTGGGGGAGGCCAGTTTTATCAAACGCTCTAATGTACTCAGTTATCACAACATCACATGCGGCTGCAATAAATAACCTCAATTCTCCTTGTTCCTGTTACTACTGTAAATTGTGTACATCTGGCCTTTCCTGCCGCGCCTGCCGCGCCTGCCTCTCGCGCCTCTACTACTCGGCCGTTACTCCCGTCATGTGTAAACTGTAATTTGGCGAAGCCGCCTGTCACGGCGTGTTGCGAGAAGCCGCAGCGGCCTATATTACACTTAATATATTGCAACCTATACTCTTTATGTCATTACGACTCTCCCCGAACAACTCCCCCGCGCCGTGAATGAAACCATCTGCAGCGTAAGATTAGGCTGTAATTATCCAGCCGCCAAACACGCATTGTCTCTATACGTCTTTCCCCGACGCAGAAAGCCATTATAACAGAGGCGCACGTGAGCGAAGAGCGAGGAGCGCGGGCCCTATTCACAGGCCCCATTGTTCAGGCCCAAGGTAAGAGGAGAGAGCGAGGGAGCAAGGGAGAGAGGGGCGAGTGAGAGAGAGAGAGAGCGAGAGAGAGAAAGAGAGAGTGAGAGAGTGAGAGAGAGAGAGAGAGAGAGAGGAGAGGAAGAGGGAGAGAGGAGGACTGTAATTATCACCTGCGCACACAAACACGGCCACACACACACGCGCACACACACGCGCTTGCATTGATGTGGAAATGAGCACGAGGCGAAAGTGAGAAAATAAATATTGAACAGCTGCTGGTGAGGCTGAGTTTCTGCTGAATTAGATTCGAGGAATTTCACACATTGTGGAATTATGTGTTTTTATTATGACATTGTGTTTATCTCAAAGTCAAACATGGAATTTACGTCATGACTCCATCTGTGACGTCATAGAAAGAATCTTTGTATAAATGGCGAGGGAGAGGAAGAGCTCAGGCTGCTGCCCCCATGACCCGCCAACGAATAAAGCAGAAGAATGAGGCAGGATGGATTACAGAACATAGTGCATTTGTGCTTAAATTAAATCTGCTTTAAAATGGAAACTACTGTATTCATGGTGATGTTGGTCCAGTTATTTAACGGACTCTGTGGAGCACAGGGACTGGCCTCCTGCTAGTGACTCTGAGGAGCACGGGGACTGGTCTCTTGCTGGGTCTCCGAGGAGCACAGGGACTGGCCTCCTGCTGGGTCTCTGAGGAGCACAGGGACTGGCTTTTGGGGGAGACAGTGAGGTTGACTCAGACATAAATAAACTGTTTCTTTCTTTCCCTGTAATGGCGTTGACAGTTCCTCCACCGCTCACTCCGGGTGCCTTCATGGTGCGGTATGTTTCTTGGTTCTCTGTTGCCTCCGGAGCACAGAGCTCGACTCGGGCTGAAAACCTGTAAGTTTAAAGCCACAATGTAACCTTTATAACAAGCTTCAACAGCACTTTCACTATCTCACCCTCAACACTGGTTTCCTGCCTCTCTGCTCATCCTCCTCTCCTCCTTCTCCTTCCCTCCTCTGCTCCTCCTCACCTCCTTCCCTTCTCTGCTCCTTTTCCTCCCCTCCTCTGCGTCTCCTCTGACATGTTTGCATTAGTTCAACATGGCGTTCATTAGAAAAACACACAGGTAGCAGTACCTCCACGCCTCCTCTGTTCTCTTGTGAGATACCAGTTTTCCTCTCCCCCGTTTGTCTCCCCTCTACATGCTGTTTCACGGGTGAGGAGTTATGGTAATCCTGGAGGCGCCGAGCCGGAAACTAATGAAGTCTGGAGCTGGTAACTGGAAGCCGGTTCTGTATCGTTGCGGCTTTATTTTACCGTCAGACGGAGACTGTGGTTAATTAAAGTGTGTTCAGGTTTGGTGTGGCGGAGAGCAGAGCGGCGCGGCTTGATTGACAGATCGTGTGGATGTGGGGAGAGCGCTGTCAGATAAGCACCGCGGGAAAATTAACGTCTTTTCACCGCGGCTCGAGGAGGAACAGACCAGAACCAGAAAGGAGAAGGGGGAGTTTCCAGAAGTTAGACTGAGGCGAGAAGGAGAAGGTCAGAATCTGAATCTCAATGGTTGGAACGGGAATCGGTCGCAACGGGAACAGTTGTGTAAGAGTTTAAAGAGAGTTTAAAAGTATTAGCAAAGAATACATCCTGGTTCTGTACTCTTGAGGATGGCATGATGTTCGAGAGCTGCATGAGACTTCCGGATTACTACTAAATATCCATCCATCTTCTTCCCCTTTATCCATTTCTGGGTCGGGGGGTGGCAGTCATAAAAAACATAGTGGGGTGAGTGTCTTGCCCAAGGACACAACAACAGCAGCCATCAGTGAAGTCGGTGGAGAAGCTCTCGTGGCGGGCACAAACCCATGACCTTCAGACCCAAAGGCCAATGCTCTACCAACTGATTCTCAAAATGTATCAAATAATGCACTTTTCTGGACAGTATTTATTTTCAACCAAGGTGCTGGTTCAGGGCAGAGAACAATAATAATAATAATGGTTTTCTACAGCTCTTTTGTGGACGCTCAAAGTTTCTTCGCAGCATTTTTAATTAACTTCAAACATAGATACTACTACTGTAGCCACAGCTGCCCTGGAAGAAGAGAGGCAGCCAGTCTATGCCTTTGGCCTCACCCACTACCAACAACCCTTCACATTGCATACACACTGTGGCTTCTGGTGTTCCCAGAGGTCTCACATCCCAGCACTAACCAGGCCCTATCTTGCTTAGCTGCAGAGGTCTGAGGCAATATAGTTTGCACCTGCAAGTGGTGCCTCGTGATACCCATAAAACCCATTCATGAATGTAACAATCCACATTCAGAGCCACCGTATCAATTGACAACTCTACCCCTCTGGTCGCTCACAACACAGATGAACCTATCAATCAACAGGTTTTTTGTCAGCGCAACACGATTGAATCAAATCTAGGAAACAGAAACATTTCAAACAGTCTCAATGGAGAGAACTCAGGACGGCGTCTCTGATGCAGGAGCCTCTATAGGGTTCAATCACTTGGGAGGAGCTCAGTCACATGGAAGGAGCTCGGGGTGGCCTGAGAACACTTCAGGATTCCCCCAGATGAGCTGTAGAAGAGTGTGTGGAGAGGGAAGTCTGGGCGTCTCTGCTCCAACTGCTGCCCCCACAACTCGGCAACGGATGAAGCAGAAGAACATGGATGTTTTCTGAGTCAGTACTTCTTAGCTCGATCTGACAAACTATGACATAAGATCCATATTCTGTTGATTCTTTGATCCAATTTCAAAACTAAGCACAATATAAATGGTCACTGTTCAGATGTTTGATTTTAGTGTGTGCATGTGTGTGTGTGTGTCAGTGTGTGTGTGTGTGCATGTGTGTGTGTGTGTTAAGCCTTAATGCAACACAACCAGTGTAATGAGCTGCCCTAGCCTCCCCCTCATCACACAAAACATATTTCCATTTCAGTCCTGATCAAAGGCCGGGCTTAATATAATCACTCGCGTTTATTCTCCTCCGCCTCTGCGCTTTTTCTCACTGTTTATGCTCATTCATTTTCACCTCACCCCCCTCCCCCCCTCCCTCTCCATTTCAGAGGTCTCATGTCTGTGTCCCCCCCCACCTCCCCTACTGCTCTATCTACTCACAAACAGGTGCTCTGTAATAGTAAATTAATTAGAAGGCGAAAGAAGGCATCCTCGCCGAATCCCTGGCCCCTAGTGGCACTGGCAGATCCACCACAAACCGACACTACCGCTATACCCCCAGAGCCGAGGGGGGGGGGGGGTTGAGATGATGGAGGGGGGTCCCAGGGGAGGGCAGGAGAGGCAGTTTGAGTGACTGGCTGCAGAGATGGTTTTTACATGACAATTAACCCTATTAGCCCCGCGACCCCGGCAGTGGAGCGGAGTCTGCGGCGGGAGAGGCTCAGATAGCGACCGGTGCAAGGCCACTCCAAAAACCAAACGGTAATAAATAAATAATTTGTTTCGTCCACTATTGACGGCCTCAACTCAACCTCGACGATACATTCACGCAGACTGAAGGACGACAATGAGGAACTGTTTATCTGAAGTGTGTTTGTGCAATAGCAATAATGGGAATAATGCCTTAATTAGCTGCTCTCATGCACTGAGCTGGCCCTGATTGGGAGAGAATTAACGAATCGTTGTGTTGAGTAATTATGATTTGATTTTTGGGTTTTGGCATAAGTGGTCTGCGGTTGGAGGAGATTGGAGGTAGTTGATGGTTGGAGATGGTTGTTGGTTAGAAGTGGTGGTTTTAGGTTTGAGGTGGTTGGAGGTTGTTATTGGTTGGTGATTGGAGGTTGGTGGTGGTTGGACGTGGTTGGAGGTTGTTGGAGGTAGTTGGGGGTTAGAGGTGATCAGTGGTTGGTGGTTAGAGGTGGTTGGAGGTGGTAGTGGCTGGTGGTTGTTGGAGGTAGTTGGGGTTGGAAGTGATCAGTGGTTAGAGGTTGGTGGTGGTTGGAGGTTGGAGGGGGTTGGTGGTTTTAGGTGGTTGGTGGTTGTTGGAGGTAGTTGGGGTTGGAGGTGATCAGTGGTTGGTGGTGGTTGAAGGTGGTTGGATGTTGGTGGTGGTTGGAAGTTGGACGTGGTTGGATGTTAAGGGGGTGAAGGTGGGTGTTGGTTGAAAGTGGTTGGAGGTGGTTGGATGTTGGGGGGGTGAAGGTGGTTGGAGGTTGCTGGAGCTGTTGTTTGAAGGTAGTTGTTGGAGGAGGTTACAGGTTGGAGGTGGTTGTTGGAGGTAGTTGTTGGAGGTAGTTGGTGGTGGTTGATGGTTGGAGGATGAAGGGGTTGGTGGTGGTTTGTGGTTGAAAGTGGTTGGATGTTGCTGGTGGTTGGAGGTTGCAGTTTGGAGGTAGTTGTTGGAGGAGGTTGCAGGTTGGAGATGGTTGGAGGTAGTTGGTGGTGGTTGGTGGTTGAAGGCTGAAGGTGGTTGGTGGTTGTAGACTCCTGGAGCTCGGTCTGAACCCAGAGCGAGTGAAGATGGCGGTGACAGCAGAGGGAGGCGGAGATGAGGCGACAAAAGCCTCTGACAGAGTTTGATTGACAGGTTTGTCTTTGACTGCAGAGTAATTACAGCAGGGAGCGAGGAGCCGCGAACACAGAGACAAAGCGCCGAGAGGAGGCTTAACTCACGTGGGATTTCCAAAGTGCCAAACGTTTTGTTCTGGAGCTGCCATAGCACTGACAATCTTATTAAAGGAGAAGTATTATGCAAAATCCAGTTATAACTGTTTCCCCTTCGCCTTTATTCACTCAGAAATGTTTTTGAGTGATTTAGTCATGTTTAATCTATACATTCAACCCTGCGTCCTTTCAGTTTGAGTTTAACCCGATTACAGATTCTGGGCACAAGACAATAACAACTTTAATTTAAGGTCTTAGCCTCCACAACTCTCCACCCTGACATCGAACGGTTCTGAACCAGATGTTTTCAAAATAATGGCCTCCTTTGACTCACAGGTGACAGGTCCAGTCAAATATTCAATTCAATTTATTCTTGTATGGCTCTAAATCACAACAGTAGATCTCTCAGAGGACTTTACAAAACCGTTGAACACAGATCAGAGAATCAAACGCTTGTACCAAACACATTGGTCAATAAAGGGCAGATGACCAGAAATGTTGTAGAAAGTTGAGTGGATCATCACCACTTTCCTGATGAGACAGAGACATTAGAGTCCTCAGCACCTCCTCCTCCAGAGCAGGAGACATTAATGATGTTTAATCAGAGCCCAAACATCTCACAGAAGAAAACATCAATTCATCTGGTTTTATCTACAGGGTAAAAAGAAGATACTGAGGCTTGTAGAAGGGTGGGGGTTAGTACTTGACAAACATGAAGATTTTAATTTGGGTTTTGTTGTTTAAAAGTACAACAAAGTGACAGATAACTTTGGAGTGAACGCAAAATGATCGACAATTTTGAAATTGTCGATCAATTTTTGAACACACTCATTCATACATCAATCACAGCAGAGGTCTCATGGATCTGAATCTAAAAGCTTTGCACATCCAGGGACTGAAAGTTTTGCCCATCAGTCTTCACAAAACACTTCCAGCTCTGTTAGATCAGAGAGAGTGTTTGTAAACTGCAGAAAAAGCTCAGGCAGCCCAAGTTTAAACATGTGTCATTCAGACTCACTTTATCTAACGATCCAAAAGCAACTGTAGATGGACATGAGAGCAGGGGCCGCTCTGTTTGGGCTCGTAGCATGTGAGCGCTAACAGGATTAGCATCACTTCACTTTCCCTGGCACCAGCGCCTCCATGTGTCACACAGATTTAGAGATTAATCAAACAGAGGAGGCTGTGGAGAGAAGCCAAGTGCCCGAGTGGAAGGCTCTGAGGGCCCCGGCAGGCTCTCAGGCCCCCGGCAGGCTCTGAGGGCCCTGGCAGGCACAGCGGGCCCTGGGTGCCTGAGCAGATGGTCGGGGATGTTCATTTAAGACACTGGATTGATTTTGAGAAACAGATATCGAGGCTCGTTAAACAGGAAACACCTCTGGGACCACAGTGCAGAGCGGGAGGGGTGAGAACCTGTCACAACAGCCCGGGCCAGAATCACAGGGTTTGTACTGTGGTTTGTTTTGCTACATTCCCTGATAAAATGTGTGACTGCATAAGTCTACATACGGTTGATGTCATTTATTGTCAATGATGAATTTCAGAACCATTCAATGATGAATTTCAGAACCATTCGAACCTGTTTGGATCTAATTGATCTTGAGTGGTTTGATAGTTTCTGTTGGAAAAGTCCAGATGTGGCTTTGAGTTTATTGCATTAATGTGACATCACAAGATTCCCAAGAGCCTATATAGTTTAACATTGTGGTTGAGCGGAGCTGTCCTTGTAACTATGGTAACTATGAAATGTCATATTTATAATATAAGAGCATATAATATATACATATAAGAGCATAGACTGTACATCTGATCAACCCTAAAATGGTTCATATCTGAATTTACAAAGACAATATCACAGAGTAGTCCTGGATCTACAGCCTCAGTCCTGGATCTACAGCCTCAGTCCTGGATCTACAGCCTCAGTCCTGGATCTACAGCCTCAGTCCTGGACCAACAGCCTCAGTCCTGGATCTGCAGCAGGGATGTCAAAGTCAAATACATCAGAGAGCCAAAAAAACAAATTTGCCGGACTGGTTCAATGCTTATTGAAACATATTGACCCAAGACCTAACACAGAGTACCGTATTTTATTTAATGATTAAATAAATAATCAGATAAGGTCACAGACAAAAACAAACTTCCTTTAGAGAACACACATCCTGAACATTAAATTAATAATCCAATATTTTCTTATGGTTCTGTGCGGGCTGGTTCTAATACCAATCACATATCATCCACGGGGCCAAGATAATTAATTTGCGGGCCGGATCTGGCCCCCGGTTCTGGGTCTACAGCCTCAGTCCTGGGTCTACAGCACAGAGCTTAAAACAACTCAATATATTTTGGAATAATGTTGTTCTAAGGTAAAGTCACAGAGTGGATCTTGTTCCGTTAACATGAAGAAGAATTCCACGACAAAGAACGACAGAAAAACATCTCTATTTTCGCCTCGTGGAAATATTCAATTCTGTAATAGCCTCAAATTCCCTGCACACTCCTGTTGTTTTCTCAGCGTAAAAAGAAACAGAAACGGGCTTGCCTCCCTCCCGCAGCTGTGTAATTGGCTAAAATGATACCCTTTCATCAGAAGCACCTTAAGGGGGGAGGGGGGGAGGTGAGGGAGGGTGTTCTGCCGCTTTCCTCTTTTTTCAATCAAATCATGGTCATCGTCGTCTGTGGAGGCCGCGCCGCTTTGTGCCAGAGAGCATTAGGAAATGAGAGAGGAGGAGGGGGGAGGTGAGGGAGAGGGGTGAGGGAGGAGCAGGAGGAGTCGGGGAGAGGTGAGGGTGGAGGAGGAAGAGGGGTGAAGGAGGAGAATGGGGTGAGGGAGGAAGAGGAGGAGGAAGTGAGAGAGGAGAGGGAGGGGGTAAGGGAGGGGGGAGGTGAGGGAGGCATAAAAATCCGTCTACGATACTTTGGTCCAGTTTGGTTTAATCCATGCATAACCCATGATGAGATCAACACAACAGCAGAAGATGCTAAAGGCGATCAAGACTTTTGACCAAACTTCTCACAGACTCAATGTTTCTCTTCTTTTTAAATACAGTATTGTTGTAAATCAAATAAAGATCTGAAATAGCTTCACAGAAATGTTAAATGAAATGATAACTGTACCCACAAGCCCCCCCCCCCCATTAAAAGGAACAGGTTCAGTGACTTCCGACAGAAACTGCAGAGTTGAGACCCACTGCATCATGAGGAGGCAGCGTTTCACACACACCATGGGTAACATATGCCTCACTCCACACTACCAACATTTGGGTCATAATAATAATTTTTTGCATGATGTAAAATCTATAATTACAGGTTGATTATAGTTGTTTATCCCCAACCATTAGCCATTGAATAGTCTTCTCTGTCCCTGTGTATTCCATTCACAAAGCCTCCATCATGACATGTCTTATATGCAACATTTATGTCCCCAAAGTTCAATACCATTTTTATGAAAGGCATCCACTTTTCTTGACATGGATTGTACTATGTAGTATAAATATACATATTGTTAATATATACTGTATATATATATAAGTATGTAATTATTTTTTTTTAAATAATGTCTTGAACACTCTCAAAAACATGTCTGAGGAAAGGGACTACTTAACGAGCCAATTGACACAGCAATGGCTTCGTAGCAACGGTTGCTATGATGAAAATATAGACACAGAGAAACTCATGAATCTAAAACATATCAATCAAAAGTAACTTTATGGTCTTCACTCTGAGCTGGAGGGGCCATGCTGCAGCCACACAGCCCTTCAAAGATCAGGTTGAAGACCTGTATCCTCTGGGACACCGCTGTGTTTTACGTCTGACATGTTTCTTATGTTCAATGATAAAAAACCTCTTCGGCCCAAAATCATTTGTCTTTTTCCGGTCTTCGTTGCTGCAGTGAAAAACGCTCTGTTATTGTAACCGTTTCTACACGAGTCTGAAGAGGAAAACACATCAGCGGGGATTCGGCAGCGTTTATGTCTGATCTCCAAAAACATCAACATGAAGACAGACGAGGAAACAGCAGGTGTTCAGGTTGGACTAGAATCATGAAGCCATTTTAAACTCAGCTTTTTAAAGATTTTAAAAAGGCTTTTGTTTGAACTGATAAAACAACAGGTTTTTGTGTTTTGTGGCTGTAACTCACATCAAACACCTGCATTAAAAGAACTGACTTTAACTTTATTATGATTAGTTTTTTTATAAAGCACAGGAAAGATATGAAACAGGTGTCAGAAAAGAGACCAGAGTGAGACCAGAGAGAGACCAGAGTGAGACCAGAGTGAGACCAGAGAGAGACCAGAGAGAGACCAGAGAGAGAGACCAGAGAGAGAAACCAGAGTGAGACCAGAGAGAGACCAGAGTGAGACCAGAGAGAGACCAGAGAGAGACCAGAGAGAGAAACCAGAGTGAGACAGAGAGAGAAACCAGAGTGAGACCAGAGAGAGAGAAACCAGAGTGAGACCAGAAGTCTGTTATATAAGAAACAGACTGACGCCACAAGAAGAAACCACGTTACAACAAATTAACACTAATTATTTGAGGATTCTGCATGTGTGTGTGTGTGTGTGTGTGTGTGTGTGTGTGTGTGTGTGTGTGTGTGTGTGTGTGTGTGTGTGTGTGTGTGAGTGCATGTGCACGTGTATCAAACACACTTGAATGTGTATAATTAATTATGCAACATGAATAATATTAATTATAGTGAAAAGATTAAAAAGGTTATTTTAATAACTGCAATATTATAATCCAATAATAATTATTATTATTGTTATTCAATGTTTTATTATTAGTTGGGTTTAGTTTATTAAGATCTGTGCTCTCTATGCCTTAATTTTATTATTAAGGCATAGAGAGAATAAAACGAGGCAGTGAGAGAGAAAACCTCTGCAGATTATCTAAAGGATTATCACCACTGCTTTAATGTACAGATGTATACATCCAACTATACTATAATGTATGCACCAGGATTTTACATTTGCTTCTTTAAAATTATAGATTATATACTTGCTTTTTTATTATGCTAAAGAGAGATGTGATAGTTACTTCTTTATTATTCTAAAGTAAGATATTAGAGATTCATGCCTGGTGATGCAACACTGACATTTCCCCACTGTGGGACAAACAAAGCCTCAGGACTCACTCTCAGCATCAAACACAAACGTTAATGAGATTAGGGAGCCCGAGTCTAAACTATTGACTGTAAATATAGTTTTTTTGGTTCCAGATATAGACAAGGCATTTATTATTATTACACACGTCTTTCCACGCAAGTCAGAATCCTCAAACAGCAGCAGCAGCAGTAACATCAGTAACATCAGGCCTTAGACGAAGGACTTCCGCACACACACACACACACACACATCATATTTATCCCGCGTGTGTCCCAAATATTTACAGTCTATGGTGCTAATAGTTCAAATATGAAAGTGAAAAATGTTGCTGGCGGTGGAACATTCTTGATGCGAGATGTGGACCTTCTAAAGAGCACGAGTATGAAAAAAATAAAAAATAAATTATTTACAACAGCTCACACACTTTCATTCCGCGCATTAAAAAACAACTTCCAAAATACGTGGAGGAATTTCATAAGCTATGATGAAGTCTCGTGCGCATAGTAATTGTATAATGTACAGTTTATGTTGCCAGGATACGGGACAAGTGTTACATATCTATACATTTATTTATATATGTTGTTTTTATTTGTAATCTGTGAATGAGATTTGCGTGTTTCTTCTGCAGTTCTCGGATCCGTGTGTGGTTTTAAACGCTGCAGTGACCGTGGCGCCGCATGTGGTGCTCTGTCTCCATCTACAGGCGGATGTTGGTACTGCGGGCGAAACTGAGCCACTGATCACGTTTGAAAAGACATTATTATTATTATCATTATTATTATTAGCAGCTTGAGATGTAATTAGCGAATGGAGTGGTCGCTGCAAAGATTGTGCGATCTATTTGTGTTCGCTGCGTTTGTTTTTAAAAGCAGGACACGGTAATTGATTAATGAAATAAGAAGAAGGAAGACACAAGAAATGTATCACTTTCGCTTCTCTTTTCTCTTTTCACTTTTCTAAATCATATTTTTTATAAATCTGTGTTTTAAAAGAGACAAAGACAGTAGCAGCGGTGCAGGTTTGGTCGAAACAACCAAACAAGAAGGAACAGGAGGTAAACTGGACTTGATTCGTCCAAATAATGAATTAATGCATGTTGTTATGCACAATTCGTGGTCTTCATAACTTTCTGACATTTTTTTGTATCTTTACGTAGTTTATTTCTATGTCATTTTTTTTCTTTTAGTTTTTCTGTTTCTGAGTTCTACCGTTAACTCATTTTCCAACAGAGATGATCAAGTTACAATAATAACACACCGTCAGAAGCATTAGCATTAGCATTAGCCTTTTATTGTTTTAGCTGCATTTCACTTGCAGTTCTAATGACCAGTTGAAGCACTTGTAAAAAATCAGTAAAGTAAAAAAATAAAAAATAAAGATATCTTATAAATTACTTCCTTTTTATAAATCTGGTGAAAAACTAAACATTCTTAGGTGGAATTTCTTATTGAATTCCATTGGTTCCATACTTGTAATAATCAATATTCCACCATTTTGAATGAATGTTTTGGGTTTGTTTGTTTACATTTATACAGAGCATTAACTTTACAACAGAAAGACTGAAAGGATGTCGACTGAAGATAATGCTAATTTTGCCCCATGAGTCTGAGTTAAAGTTTACATTAGGATGTAGATTATGATGAAGAGATCCTTTCTTAACATGGGTTAGGGTTTCTGTAGTATTCAAAATTATAGTTTTATCTTTGAAAGTCAATGACATGATTTAAGATTATCTGTGCATCGAGAGATTGACCCTCTAACCCAGACAGGTCAAACTCAGGCCCATGGGCCCAATTCTTCTCAGTTTTCTGCAGCTCCAGCTGCTGTTTGAGCAGCAACCCACCTCCTCCCCATAACCGCCTTTTCAGGGGTGTCATATCATGTCTTCTTCGCCACCAGGTTCTAGGCCCCGGGGGTCGCAAGCTCATAATTTCTATTAAACTCCCTTTTGCATACGTCATGCAGTATCCCCGCCGGGGTCTAATCACCCATCCTAATGCAATAAATATATAAGTACACAACCAAAGTCGGCTGGTGTCTATTCATGCATCTTGACAATAAATATTCAAATGCAATCTTCGTCTCGAGTCTCTCCAGATTGACTATGTTCCATATGTTTTTGCACTGTTTTTGTTTTTAATTGCTTATGGGTTTGACTGTATGCATTGTAAATCATACATGATTTGTTTGTTTTTAAAATGTTATTAGAAGTTATAGTTACTAAAATTATTATCATTTTGAATTCACTTCTAATATGTCTTTTATTGATATTCGGCCCAGTTCTGGTTGAGTCTATACCTACTAGAAAGTAATATCCAAAATAATTAAATACAGTTCATTTGTAAAAAAGACAAAAATATCTAAAAATAAATACAAATTTTGGTTTCTGGCCCAAACCACCTCTTATGTTTTTACATTTGGCTCCCATTACTTTATGAACACATCTGTAGTGGTTTCGTTAGGAGGCCATTATAGATTCTGAATGTTAATATCAAAGTGTAAAGATCGACTAAATCATAGTACAGGGGACAGAACCGTCACTGCTTGTTTCGTTAAGGCCTATTCTACTTTTATTTAGTTGTCAGGGAAAGGGAGCACCTGGAGGGAACCCACGCAGACACAGGGAGAACATGCAAACTCCTCAGAGAAAGGCATGCAGGTGGAATCGTACCACCCTCATTCAGCTCTCAGCTCTAAGAGTCAGATAGTGACTCACGAGGCTCACACTACACAACAGTAAAGACAACACACTACACTACACCATACATCACCCTCCAGTGCTGCCACCAGAGGGAGCAGCGTCTGCAGTCAGAGCTCCCTGTAACTCCCTATGCATGCAAGTTCAAAATTGGCTTCAAACTAAGACATGCGCTTGTAAATAACACTATTTGACCAAATTTGAATAAAATATATTTTGGATGTGGATTCCCCAAAAACAGATCAGAGAATCAAACACATACAGCCGTTGCATCTCCTCGGTAACAGTCTCCCTCTATTCTCTCAGTCGAACGTGTGAGCAGCAAAGCGAGCCCTTGGCGTTCTGAGGACCTTGTGTCAGACCTAATCACGATGAAAAAGTCAGAGGCAGACTTCAGTTCTTTGCAACAATAATATATAGATTTGGAAAGATATATAATAGATATATATTCAGAGAGAGAGAGAAGACTGTTGCTAAGACGGTTGCTAAGGGATGCCAGAGTCTCTCCCGTGAATGAAGGCCTCTAAATCTCCTCCTCCTCGCTCCCTCCTCACCCCTAGCTCCTCACCCCTCTCTCTCCTCCCCTCTTTCGCCCCTCTCTCCTCCTCTGTCCCTCCCCTCTCTCTCTCTCCCCTCTCTCTCTCTCCCCCAAATTCTATATATGTTCTGGAGAGGGTTTTGCTGCCGCTCCACAGCTCAAGGTTGAGTGTGAATGAGACAGAAACAACTCTGACCTCGAGCGTCGGTGAGAGGCGCTGCAGTCTCTGAGCTCGGTGCGAAGGCCACGCGCTCTTCAGTCTCTCCAAACACACGCCTCACATCTGCGCCGCAATTACCCACAATGCAGCTCTGTACAGGTGTGGCTCCATGCAAGACTCTGGGTGAGGGGTCAAAGGGTTGAGGATCAAAGGATTAGGAATCCAAGGGTCAGGGATCAAAGGGTTAGGGATCAAAGGGTTAGGGATCCAAGGGTCAGGGATCAAAAGGTTAGGAATCAAAGGGTTAGGGATCAAAGGATCAGCTATCCAAGGGTCAGGGATTAAAAGCTGATTTCTAAATTTGTATAAATAATTATCTGTTTCACTTTTGTGTTTTCTGAGGTAATTTACAGTTGTGTGTCTCATCCAGAAGCTCCCACTGAAAGATCAAGGCTGTGCTCTCACAGTGGGGCTGGGGCTCTGTGAATTGGTGCAGCTCTGACTACTTAAGTTCAATAACAATGTTGCACTTTGAACATAAAATATTACCCCGCACTCATGAAGCAAAGCCGAGTACTGCTTTGCTCGGTCCTTTGTTGATATTTGTGCAGCTTGTGTCACCTGTTTCCACCCGGACCACAAACACAGACGCACCGTCCTCCTACATGGCGCTGGCCATCAACAGCAACAACAAGGGCTAAAACTGCCACATACAACTTATTTGTTCCTGTAAAGTCGCGGAAACGTTGCAGAGTTTAGAAGAAGTTGCAAGTTTGTACTGATTTTGCGGCATTTGCTTGATTTTGCGTTAATAGTTCTCAACATCACAAAGTCTTGGAGGGATTTCAGGTGAGATTTGAGTGGAGTCTTATTTTTCTCCATGTTTGTAATGCCTCTGTTATAATATGAGGGTCATGAATCGCAATATATCGCAGAATTGAATCACAAAACTTTCTGTATTGCAATATGTAAAAAAAAAAGAAAAGAATTGTGGCCCAAATATTGCAATACAATCAAATCGTCCAATTTCTGCTAATTCCCACCACTACAACACCATCAAAATGTTTCCTTTGTCTTTATCTCTATATCACACCAGCAACAGACAGAGACCAGAACATCAGATGCAGCCGTGTGTCAGCTCGCATTAGCTCCCTGCGGCTCTAATCCCATACATCGCCCTCCTGCTCCATGGGACTGAGCACCACTCTCCTCTCATTCCAGTCTTCCTGGTGTCCACCTATGCAGCCGGGTCTGGACAGCTCCTGGTGACGGATGTGGACTGTGGGCCACTGGGTCTATCTGATAATTGACTGTCAAATAAAAGGCTATTTCTCCCTTGACACCAGCGTCAATCGCGGCTCACTTAACGCAGACTCCCAGGCCGTCCAATTACAGCGCCATCAGCCACTCCTCCGCTGCCCTGAACGCTTATCCCTGCCTCCCGGCGCGAGCTCTCCTGGCGCTGGGAAGTGACATTAATGGCGATAAAAGCAGCAGCGCCGGGAGCCACACACACGAGTCCTCGCGCTCAAGAGCCTCAAACACTCGGGAAATAAAGAGTGAAGAGAAACTGTCTCCTGGAACTGTCTCCGATCGATGGCGCGGAGTGTAATGTTATGGAGGTTTATTTTGAACAGGCACAAACAATGACACACACTAAATGCAGAGAGAGATGTTTACCGAGCGGCAAAGATGAGTGTTTGAGTTCTGTGCTCGAGAAACTTCTCAAGGTCTCGGAGCAACACAGAATATTGTGTGGTTCAGACGCAGAGATGAACCATGAGCTGCAGCCGACAGGACACAGTTGATGGGTCAAATATATACATGTATATATATATATTTAAAACTACACACACCTTTTGCCCTCCGCGGGCCGTTATCCCTCTCTAAGCTCGGGTCCTCTACCAGAGGCCTGGGAGCTTGAGGGTTCTGTGCAGTATCTTTGCTGTTCCTAGCACTGCACATTTCTGGACCGAGATGTCGAGGTTGTTCCAGGGATCCGCTGTAACCACTCCTTCAGCTTCGGGGTCACTGCCCCGAGTGCACCGATCACCACGGGCACTACTGTCACCTTTACCCTCCAGGCCCTCTCCAGCTCCTCTCTGAGCCCTTGGTATTTCTCAAGCTTTTCATATATCTGGTTCTGTCAGAAAAATTCAAAGATGGAACCGTTCAAGGAAATCGATGGGAATCTAAGGGAATTAACAGCAATAAACTGGAAGTAAACTGGGAATATATCAAGGGAGCTAATTCAATTCAGCATAATTGAATGTCATTGTTATGAAGCCCTAAATCACAACAGTAGCAATGATTAAAAAAATACATCAATTGGTCCGTAGGGGGCAGATAAATATGTCCATATTTATTGATAAATGTCCATAATCCTGACTAAAACAAATACACTTGAATATCCATGTCATTCCTCCATCACACTGCCCCCTACTGGCCCTGCACCTCCAACCCAAAGCACAAGACTGTTGAATATACACATTTGAGATTTGATTTTAATATGGGGAAACTGTAAATATCACATACAAACAATACGAAAGATAGCAAGCTGACAAGTTTTAAGCAAGCTAGCAAGTTTAATGAGAGATGTTTTGGAGGAAGGTTTTTTCAGGACCCAGTTTCAGGACCCAGTTTCAAGGCCCAGATTCAGGACTCAGTTTTAGAGCTGAGTTTGAAGACCCAAGTTCCAGGACTGAGTTCCAGGCAATTGCTCTGGAACTCATCAACTGCCACTAGTTATACACACAAACTGCTTATTCAAAGGGACATGTATGAAGTGGGCTCCGATTAAGACAACACATCAGCTCAGACAGTAAGTCTCTCTCTCCACCGTCTCATCTTCACTCATCGCTGTTTGCCAACTTCCCCCAGAAATGGACCTATGTCAACTCGAGTCACAGTTCTATAATAAAAATAATACATCCAACTTATTTAGTGCTTTGTTGGGTTTTGAGAAGTGATTTAAAGTTCTGTCAGGAGTGGGAGTTTCTGATGGGTTGTGGGAGTGAGTTCTAGAGTGGGGCAGCTGCAGCAAAGGTTTGCCACCCAAGGTTAAGAAGGCGCAATCTTCAGGGTTCAGAACGCTCAGTTCTCCATAGTCAAGAGGCTCGGTCCACAGGGTTCAGAAAGCTCCGTTCTCAAGGTTCAAAAGGCTCGGTCCTCAGGGTTCAGAAAGCTCAGTCCCCCAAGGTTCAGTGTTTAGTCCTGAGGGGAGTGAGAAGGTCTGAGTTTGTGGATCTGAGAGTGGGACTGTGATGATGGAGGAGCTCAGTGAGGTATGACGGAGCCAGGTTGTTGGTGAGGAGGAGGACCTTGTATCGGATGCGATAGGTAACAGAGAGCCAGTGGAGTTGTTTGAGGGCGGGGGTGATGTGGTCTGTGTGAAAGGGAGATTGTAGAAGAGGCTGTTGCAATGGTCGAGTCTGGAGGTGATGAAATCAGAGTTCAGTTGTATACTTTATTTTCTTTATATACTTTTTATTTTATATATGTCCTCTGTATTTGATCTATCTTTCATAGCTGCTACGGCCTCTATCAGCAGCAGTGGTCTCAGTGCAGCGCCAGGCAACCGAGAGAGTACTCTTGTACTTCTACTGCTGTACTCTTACTCCTGTCTGTGCGCTGCAACACTGACAGAGTAACCCTCGAACAAATTTTTTTATATTGGCGTTACAGACTTAAAACATGATGAGTAGTGTATTGTTTATTTGGTTGGCACAATGCAGGCTGTGTGTCCCACACACATATGCACACATATGCACACACACACACACACGCATGCACATTTGATGATAATGGGCGAAATATTGATTAAATGTCTAAATTGTAAATAGCACAATCATTTTCATCTAGAAGATAGGGAGCTGGCAAGTTAGATGCTAAGCCAGCTAGAAAGTTTAATGTGAAATGTTTTAGAGGGAGGAAGGTTTTTTTCAGGACCGGATTTCCAGGACTCAGTTTCAAGAGCTGGGTTTGAGGACCCAGGTCCCAGAACTGAGTTCCAGGCCCTTGCTCTGAGGTGAAACAGACTAAAACCCATCCATGATCCAGGTCTCCTACTGGTGATTTTGGACTAGAGTTGCTCCATGATAAACACTGGCTCTGAATGTTGTTTTTGCTGGACCACATCCATCTCCATTTGTTGATTGTGTTTACCTCACTGTCCCTGTGACACGCTGAATGTAAATGGCTCTCATTAAAGCAGAGCAGAGTGTTTTGGAGCCTCCTCTCCCCACGGCGCCTTTGTGAAGCTGTCAGCTCAGCGTTTGATGAATTGCATGCAATTTTCCCCGAGCCCCTTCCCGCTCACTCATCATCTGCCATTAGTTATAGATCCACACACAAACTGCTTATTCAAAGGGACATGTATGAAGTGGGCTCCGATTAAGACAACACATCAGCTCAGACAGTAAGTCTCTCTCTCCACCGTCTCATCTTCACTCATTGCCGTTTGCTAACTTCCACCAGAAATAGACCTTTGTCGACTCGAGTCACAGACCTGCATCAGTCACAGTTCTATAATAATAATAATAATAATAATATTATATCAAACTTATATAGTGCTTTGTTGGACACTCAAAAACGCTTTACAAAACACATGAAAATAAGCATAGAAAAACCAAATTAAAGAAAGGCAAGCTGAAACAGGTGGGTTTTGAGAAGTGATTCAAGTTTTGTCGTGAGTGGGAGTTTCTGATGGGTTGTGGGTGTGAACTCCAGAGAGTGGGGGCAGCTGCGGCGAAAGCCCGGTCCCCCAAGGTTCAGAAGGCTCGGTCCTCAGGGTTCAGAAGGCCCGGTCCTCAGGGTTCAGAAGGCTCGGTCCTCGTGGTTTAGAAGGCTCGGCCCTCAGGGTTCAGAAAGCTCGGTCCTCAGGGTTCAGAAGGCTCGTTCCTCAGGGTTCAGAAGGCTCGGTCCTCAGGGTTCAGAAGGCTCGGTCCTCGGGGTTCAGTATAGGGATGTAAATCGGTAACCGTTTAACCGGTGGTCGACCGTCAGAACATTAACCGGTCAAAGCTGTCGGTTAAAAAAAAGAAAAGGGGGAGAGGGGAGGTCTCTTTATAACGCTATCTTAAGCCCTATTTGCATGGGGTGACGAGCAGGTCCGTCTCTAGCTGTGTGCGCCAATGTATTAGTAAACTCCGGGCCGACTTTCATGCCGCACGCGCAACATATGCACGAACACACGCGTGCATGCACACCCACACACACACATTTTCCCCCCTCCATTGATACGTAACATCCACACGCATCATCTCTCCCCTCTGTTACCGCCAAAGTTGCACACTGGTGCGGGTCAGAACTACATTGGAGCTTATATTTACACACACACACACACACACACACACAACGGTCTGTCGCGCTCATCTATGTCACACAGCCCAAAGCATCCTCGCAAATATGCGGCTCCAGTCAAACCACATGGAACATGTTTGTGTTTATGGTCCTTGGCATCAGCTCCACACACATCACCTGTATTAAAACTTTAGCGGAGACCTGCGAGACGCGCCTCGCCACTCGCTGCTCTGACCATGTGAACGAGCCGTAGTTTGCTTAAAAACGCTTTAACCCGCAGCACAGAAGAATAGGAAGATTAAAAAAGCAGTTCTCTGTGCGCAAAGGTGCCGTAGCTGTTGCGGGTGTTGGCGCCGCTGTCTCGCCTCTGATCCAGTAGAACGCATAGCTGCATCCCTAGTTCAGAAGCCTCGGTCCTCGAGGTTTAGAAGGCACGGCGCTCAGGGTTCAGAAGGCTCGGCCCTCAGGGTTCAGAAGGCTCAGTCCTCAAGGTTTAGAAGGCTCGGCCCTCAGGATTCAGAAGGCTCGGTCCTCATGGTTCAGAAGGCTCGGTCCTCATGGTTCAGAAGGCTCGGTCCTCATGGTTTAGAAGGCTCAGTCCTCAGGGTATAGAAGGCTCGGTCCTCAGGGTTTAGAAGGCTCGGTCCTCAGGGTTTAGAAGGCTCAGTCCTCAGAGTTTAGAAGGCTCAGTCCTCATGGTTTAGAAGGCTCAGTCCTCGAGATTCAGAAGGCTCGGTCCTCATGGTTCAGAAGGCTCGGTCCTCAGGGTTTAGAAGGCTTGGTCCTCAGGGTTTAGAAGGCTCAGTCCTCAGGGTTTAGAAGGCTCAGTCCTCGGAGTTTAGAAGGCTCAGTCCTCGGAGTTTAGAAGGCTCAGTCCTCGGAGTTTAGAAGGCTCAGTCCTCGGGATTCAGAAGGCTCGGCCCTCAGGGTTTAGAAGGCTCGGCCCTCAGGGTTCAGAAGGCTCGGTCCTCTGGATTAAGAAGGCATGGATGGAGGAGGTCAGTTAGGTATGACGAAGCCAGGTTGTAGGTCAGGAGGAGGACCTTGTATTGGAGTTGTTTGAGGACGGGGGTGTTGTGGTCTGTGTGGAAGGTAGACCATAGTCGAGGTGATGAAGTCAGAGTTCAGTTATACTTTATTTTCCCCATTAGGGATATTTGTCCTCTATATGGGCGGCACGGTGGCTGAGTGGATAGCACTCTCGCCTCTCAGCAAGAAGGTCCTGGGTTCGAATCCCGGTCGGACCAGGGCCTTTCTGAGTGGAGTTTGCATGTTCTCCCCGTGTCTGCGTAGGTTTCCTCCGGGCACTCC